ATAAAACATAAAATCACGATTTAACGGTTATTTTAACTCCGATTTTCATGATTTTTTACAATTACACTCCTTGACCCTATACGAATACAATGAATGAATTTGATCGTCAATTAAAAATATTTACACAAGTGTATACCACAAAATCTTATGTTATACTTAATGAAAGTATAAATAAACTCTAAGTGTTAGTGAATCTATAGTTTTGATGGGATACGAATTCTATGAAACTAATTTTAACGATCCAACCGTCAAACTTGTTTGTATATGCTTCGAGATCGCATACGCCAAAAATCACAAAAAACAAACATTTAGAGATCAAGTAATGAGACAAAACTTTTCGACGGTTATAAAACAAAAAATCACAATTTAACAGTTATTTTAACTCCGATTTTGATGATTTTTTACAATTACACTCCTTCACTCTATACGAATACAATGAATGAATTTGATCGTCAATTTAAAATATTTACACAAGTGTATACCACAAAATCTTATGTTATACTTAATGAAAGTATAAATAAACTCCAAGTGTTAGTGAATCTATAGTTTTGATGGGATACGAATTCTATGAAACTAATTTTAACAATCAAACCGTCAAACTTGTTTGTATATGCTTCCGGATTGCATATGCCAAAACCATGAAAAACAAACATTCAGACCTCAAGTAATGAGACAAAACTTTTTGACGGTTATAAAACAAAAAAATCACGATTTAACAGTTATTTTTAACTCGGATTTTGATGATTTTTTACAACTACACTCCTTGACCCTATACGAATACAATGAATGAATTTGATCGTCAATTTAAAATATTTACACAAGTGTATACCACAAAATCTTATGTTATACTTAATGAAAGTATAAATAAACTCTAAGTGTTAGTGAATCTATAGTTTTGATGGGATACAAATTCTATGAAACTAATTTTAATGATCCAACCGTCAAACTTGTTTGTATATGCTTCGAGATCGCATCGCCAAAAATCACAAAAAACAAACATTTATAGATCAAGTAATGATACAAAACGTTTTGACGGTTACAAAACAAAAATTCACGATTTTACGGTTATTTTAGCTCCGATTTTGATGATTTTTTGCAACTACACTCATTGACCCTATACGAATACAATGAATGTGTTTGATTGTCAATTTAAAATATTTACACAAGTGGATACCACAAAATCTTAGGTTATACTTAATGAAAGTATAAATAAACTCTAAGTGTTAGTGAATCAATAGTTTTGATGGGATACGAATTTTATGAAACTAATTTTAATGATCTAACCGTCAAACTTGTTTGTATATGCTTCTAGATCGCATATGCCAAAAATCACAAAAAACAAACATTCAGAGATCAAGTAATGAGACAAAACGTTTCGACGGTTATAAAACAAAAAATCACAATTTAACGGTTATTTTAACTCCAATTTTGATGATTTTTTACAACTACACTCCTTGACCCTATACGAATACAATGAATGAATTTGATCGTCAATTTAAAATATTTACACAAGTGGATACCACAAAATCTTATGTTATACTTAATGAAAATATAAATAAACTCTAAGTGTTAGTGAATCTATTGTTTTGATAGGATACAAATTCTATGAAACTAAGTTTAACGATCCAACCGTCAAACTTGTTTGTATATGCTTCGAGATCGTATACACCAAAAATCACAAAAAACAAACATTTAGAGATCAAGTAATGATACAAAACGTTTCGACGGTTATAAAAAAAAAATCACGATTTAACGGTTATTTTAACTCCGATTTTGACGATTTTTTACAATTACACTCCTTGACCCTATACGAATACAATGAATGAATTTGATCGTCAATTTAAAATATTTACACAAGTGGATACCACAAAATCTTATGTTATACTTAATGAAAGTATAAATAAACTCTAAGTGTTAGTGAATCTATCGTTTTGATGGGATACGAATTCTATGAAACTAATTTTAACGATCCAACCGTCAAACTTGTTTGTATATGCTTCGAGATCGCATACGCCAAAAATCACAAAAAATAAACATTCAGAGATCAAGTAATGAGACAAAACTTTTCGACGGTTATAAAACAAAAAATCATTATTTAACGGTTATTTTAACTCGGATTTTGATCATTTTTTACAACTACACTCCTTGACCCTATACGAAAACAATGAATGAATTTGATCGTCAATTTAAAATATTTACACAAGTGGATACCACAAAATCTATTGTTATACTTAATGAAAGTATAAATAAACTCTAAGTGTTAGTAAATCTATAGTTTTGATGGGATACGAATTCTATGAAACTAATTTTAACGATCCAACTATCAAACTTGTTTGTATATGCTTCGAGATCGCATACGCCAAAATCACGAAAAACAAACATTCAGGGATCAAGTAATGAGACAAAACATTTCGACGGTTATAAAACAAAAAAGATCACGATTTAACGGTTATTTTAACTCCGATTTTGATGATTTTTTACAACTACACTCCTTGACCCTATACGAATACAATGAATGAATTTGATCGTCAATTTAAAATATTTACACAAGTGTATACCACAAAATCTTATGTTATACTTAATGAAAGTATAAATAAACTCTAAGTGGTAGTGAATCTATAGTTTTGATGGGATACGAATTCTATGAAACTAATTTTAATGATTCAACCGTCAAACTTGTTTGTATATGCTTCGAGATCGCATATGCCAAAAATCACAAAAAACAAACATTTAGAGATCAAGTAATGATACAAAAAGTTTCGACGGTTATAAAACAAAAAATCACGATTTAACGGTTATTTTAACTCCGATTTTGATGATTTTTACAACTACACTCCTTGACCCTATACGAATACAATGAATGAATTTGATCGTCAATTTAAAATATTTACACAAGTGGATACCACAAAATCTTATGTTATACTTAATGAAAGTATAAATAAACTCTAAGTGTTAGTGAATCTATAGTTTTGATGGGATACGAATTCTATGAAACTAATTTTAATGATCCAACCGTCAAAGTTGTTTGTATATGCTTCTAGATCGCATATGCCAAAAAAAAAAAAAAAAAACATTCAGAGATCAAGAAATGAGACAAAACGTTTCGACGGTTATAAAACAAAAAAATCACTATTTAACGGTTATTTTAACTCGGATTTTGATGATTTTTTACAACTACACTCCTTGACCCTATACGAATACAATGAATGAATTTGATCGTCAATTTAAAATATTTACACAAGTGGATACCACAAAATCTTATGTTATACTTAATGAAAATATAAATAAACTCTAAGTGTTAGTGAATCTATCGTTTTGATGGGATACGAATTCTATGAAACTAATTTTAACGATCCAACCGTCAAACTTGTTTGTATATGCTTCGAGATCGCATACGCCAAAAATCACAAAAAACAAACATTTAGAGATCAAGTAATGATACAAAACTTTTCGACGGTTATAAAACAAAAAATCACGATTTAACGGTTATTTTAACTCCGATTTTGATGATTTTTTACAACTACACTCCTTGACCCTATACGTATACAATGAATGAATTTGATCGTCAATTTAAAATATTTACACAAGTGTATACCACAAAATCTTATGTTATACTTAATGAAAGTATAAATAAACTCTAAGTGTTGGTGAATCTATCGTTTTGATGGAATACAAATTCTATGAAACTAATTTTAACAATCCAACAGTCAAACTTGTTTTTTATTAGTTTCTGTTTTTTTAGTGTAGATGTAGTACTTAAATGACAAATATGTTTTAATGTTTTGAAGTAATATTTATGTGGTAATGTGTGCTATGTGCAAATTTAAGAAAAAAATATATTTTTCTTAACGGGTCTTAACGGGTCATAACGGGTCGGGTCACTTTACCCGTTGGGTAAAGTGACCCGACCTGTTAAGGACCCGTTAAGATAACAGGTGTGACACGACACGACCCGTTAAGATAACAGGTGTTACACGAAAACGATACGAACACAACAGACACGACCTGTTTGCCAGGCCTAACTATAGCTATCTGAGAAATCTTGCATATTACGCAAAGCGACCCTATCACTTCGGCATAAAATGAATAGGTCATTCACATACATTACATACAAGGAGAAACACAACCACTTGAAACATAAATCAGCCTAGTGAGTCCAACTAGTTGAAGTCGACTCAAACCCTTGATAAATCCTCAACTAGGCAAAAAAAGTAATGGAGAGAGGGGGCCCTTGTCTCACCCCTCGTTAACAAGAGAAAAACATAGGGAAAGGGCGGGCATTAATTAAGATAGATAATTTAGCAGATCTTAAAATAGTAGACACCCAGTTATAAAACAACAGGAATTATTAAGCATCTGCAAGGGAGAAGACCACTTTATTAAGGTATCAAAACCCTTAGCTATACCGACTTTAACTACCATGCATGTTACCACCACGTAATTCTTTGTTTATTATTTATTCACAGAATTATTTATTTTAAATTTCTTACACTAATTCCTTTCCCGTCTTAAAGAAGTTCAAACTGAAAAAATTAAAATGTTTGAACTAATCAAAGTTTACATAAGTTTACATAAAGTTTAAAATAAATAATTCTACGATTTCCTCTCTATACAGCGTGGATGCAAATGCCAATCTCTTTCGCCTGATTTTCTATCTATAGATTTTTACGGAATGGTTTCAGTGGGGCCTTTTCATCTCATAACTTCGTATCAGTTTTTGTCATGATGCGAAATCATAATCACGTGGTTTATCTTCGCTTACACAGCTCTGTTAATCACATATGTTTTTTCTTTGCTTACACAGCTCTGTTTAATCATATATGTTGTTTCGGTTTGATTTACAAAAATAGGTACGAGGACAAATCATTACTCATCAATGAAAGGTTCCCTATTCACGAAAAAGGAAAAAAAAAGGGAACCTATTCGTGCATTAATTAGCGTAGGCCATGGGACTAAGAACAATAGCTGATACCAGAACACTACACCGGAAGAAAAAGTGATCAAACCGCCGGATACCAAAACCCACCCCAACTCCTCAAACCCTCAGCCCACTCCAACCACTTAGGCTTGCTTGGTCTACATATTATTTCGTTAACCAAAGTGTTTAAATCTTCAGTTGTACGACCATACGATTTAACAGCCTCTTCAGCAAACTCTTTGAACACGCTAATCCTCTCTCTCATTTCCTTTCCTTCTTTACTTGATAAACATAACTGCAATGCCTTCATTGCTCCACTTTTTGTCACAACTCCTCCCTCGACCCCCACCCCAATCTTCCACACAGCCTCTAGAGTCCTCATGTTTAGTGGCTGATCAGCCTTAAAAGGCCTGCATATCATTGGCACGCCACCGGTTATGCTCTCCAAAATTGAGTTCCAACCACAATGAGTCACAAAAACTCCGACGCAGGCATTGTTGAGTATTTGAGTTTGGGAAGCCCATGGTACTACTTTCCCGTTTCCATTTTGTTTTGTTCGTTCGAGGAATCCCTCGGGGAAATCTTTTTCATTTCCCCTAAATGACCAAATGAATGGAAATCCTCCTTCCTCTAGGGCTTCAGCTAATGCTGCTAGCTCATGCGGCGGCAGTGCTGCTACAGTTCCGAAGCTAATGTACGCTACGGATGCAGGCTTATGGTTACCTAACCACTCTAAGCATCCGTTGTCCTCCGAAATTTTTGGTAGTAGTGGTGGTGTTAGGGTTAAGGGTCCAACATGGAGAAATTTATGAAACTTTTTCTTGAGCTCAAACGCAACTTCGAGATCTAGGTCTTGAAAAGAGTTTATGGCAACTGCAGTTGCCCTTGGTAGCTTGAGTCCCATTTTATGCATCATAACTGCAATTGGGGATCCTAAATTTTCTGTTGATATTCCACCAGGTAAGTCGGATGCAAGGAATGCTGAAAATCCAGGAAGGAATTCAAGGGTTTGATCTTTGTCCCCTGCCAAGAAAAAGAAACACAAGTAAAAAAGGTTCAGATTTATTGTTTTGAAACTTTGATGATTGCATCTCAAGTCTCAACTTAATCTGCTTTACGTATCTAAACATTTTCAGTTTTATATGTTGAGAGTGAATCCCACATGAGAAAAGAGGCACCTTGCATGTGCTCATAAGTAGTTTGGGCACTTCCCATTGTCAATTGGTTTTATGGTGGAACTTGAGAGTCAATCTTACATGGGAGAAAGGAGGGACATTTCAAGTGCTTTTAAGTAGTTAGGTTACTCTCCATATTGTCAATTGGTTTTATGGTTGGACCTCAATTTTCTTCAGTATATAGCGAGACAGATGATTATATTGCTAGACTGTAAATATATTTCTGTGTATTAAATATGTTCATGTGTAATAATCAAATATATGTAACTGCAAACTGCTTTAAAATATTCTGCTATGAAATAAAATTTCTTACCACTAGCTCCCAATTTTTCTTTAATCACATCGTTAGCAACATGAATAAACAGAGGGCGTTGTCCTGAAGTCCACAAGGGTACCCAAGGGATCTGCATTTCCTCTGCCATGTCACAAGCAAACCAAAGGAAAGCATCCGATATCAAACAGCCTACTTTGTGCCCAATCTCAGCCTCAGCCTCTGCGATACCTTTCTTAAAGCTGCCTGGTGCTGCCTTAAGAAAAAAGTCAATTGGCTCCAGAGGGTTCCCAGAAAACACATAACTTTCTGGTAAGCCATCCCATACGTCGTAAGGCTTTATATTGTCAAAGCCCTTAATGTTACATTTTGTGAAGAGGGAGCTATTAGATTTAGCTAGGCTGAAGAATGAAAACTTCACATCAGGGGCTACCGCCGAAATCATACGTACAAAAAGGAGAAGTGGGCTGGGATGGGATGCAAACGGAAAGACTAAGACGGCAACATGCTGACTACAAGATTTGTGGCTCATTAATGGCATTGTGATGCGTACAATATTTCTCAGATCTTACTTTTTTGTGTTCTGCAAGCTTGTGCATGTAATGCAGTTGTGATGGTATTATATTTTATTTGTGGGAAACAAGAGGAAGTTAATTAGCTGCGGACAACGGAAATGAGAAACATTAGGTTTTCTTCGTTTTTGCAGGTTTGGAATGGGTTAGTTTTATGTTTTGGGCAGCTTGGAAAATGGTTATTAGTTGGTTACTTTTACGGAGAGAATCTAGAAGGGGAAATTCGGGAAAATACCCTTTTCCAGAGGGTTAAAGGAGGTTTTGTCCCCCTTATTAAATTCTTACTAGCCTCTCCGTACCTGCTTACGTGCATGCGAGATGTTTTTTTAGCTCCCCCATGAGATGAGTTTTGTTAGCTATTTTTTTCTCATACCGCATCCTAAAGATAAAATACAACATACAGTTACAAATAAAAGAAAATAAAACATAATTAAATTACGCGTAAAATGCGTAATAAAAGAAAGTCTCATTACATGCACAAAAGCATTCTTGGAAATTAGTAATAAATAAAAGAAGAAATAAAGTAAGAACCAAATAATAGTGTTAGAGAACAAACTAAACAATTAATCTATGTAAAGACTAAGAATACATACAGTACCACAGATTCGAATGACTTCTATCAAATCTATTTGAATAGTTTATCTTATTAAAAGTTGCTAAATATGAGTTCATAGGGTATGTGGCTTCGTAGCATAATATCTACTTTTTTCTTTGACATATATGTCACACTTTCCCATTCCACGTGAAACTGCTGTGTCAATTCAAATCCACCACAACATTAATGCTTGTTTCCATAGCTGCAAACGAAGTGTTTGAAATGAAAATAAGAGTTGAAGTGTAAATTGTTTGTAGTATTTAAAATACATACATTGACAAAAAGTAAGAAAAAAAATAGTCATATCCAATTAGAGAGACCAGAAACTCAATCAAAGATAATATCAAATGTAAAACCCTTGACTTTGGATTTCGTTCACATTTGGATCGGTTTAAATTAGCTTTTGTTACCAAAATCTAAACAATAGAAAAAATAACCTCTTCGAAGAAGAATTTACAGTAACTACATACTATAATGCTTTTGTCTACAATCATATTAACACAATAAATAAATAAAAGTTCTCAAATCTACAGAATCTTTACTCTGTTTTTTCAAATTCTAAAGCATGATACGGTATCTACCAAATGGAAATAGTAAAAGGAAGAAGAACCTTAGAGTATATGAATGGGCAATCTTTTCCCATATGACGACTAAATGATGTCCTCTATTTGTTTTTCCTTTTTTTTTGTCTCAACTATATTTGTTTTTCGTCTCAACTATATTTGTTTTTCAAAAGTATGCTTGTATTACACAATTTGTTAGGGGATTAGTTCATTAATTGATACCATGACCAAAGTAATCACCAAACAAAACAAACAATGGGTTAAGGGGATGCAAAAATGGCTTCCAAAACTATTGGATGAATAACATTTGGAAATATGTTAGGATAGAGGAACTACAATGTTGGCATCAAATATGAGTGGCAATTAATTTGAGAGTAAGGATAATAATGCAAACACAAAACGAAGTATCACATATCATATACCATCAACATGGGTGGGAAGAAAATTTTTTGAGCAACTTCCAGTCAAATAGTCTACCTTGTCAATGTTTGTTGCTTTACCTAAAGAGGCGCAAAATTACTCAATCTGAATGCTTTCAAATTGTCCACTTCCCTTGATTTGTTTTTTTTGTTTTTGTGTCCTTTCGCAATGTTTATTGGAATAAGAGTGCACACACCTAATGGAATCACCAACAAAGTGATTCAAATTTTTGCGGAGCTTGCAGTTACACACTAGAGGCCCCATCATTCTTTGTAATTCTACAAAGAAAGAAGAATATAAGGATGGTGATTGAAGTATTCACCAATTAAAAATTCGACCTTCAGAAAATTTCGTCGATTTTCTCTCCCTTTTTGCATGATTTGTGGGTAGATAATAATTGATTAACCCATTCTTCTCTTCTTAAATGTGTGGATGGCGGTTTCTATGTCCACTATCTGCAATGCACTTTGTTTAAGATTAATATCTATGTGTGGGTGTGTGGGTGTGCTTCATCTAACGGTTGAAAGGTAATTGAATAAGAGCACATCATGTGATGCTTGAAGGTGAACAGATTACTTGTTGTGCAAACACAAATAACCAGTTAGGGAGACTCGAATTCCTTAAAGCATGACATCCATACTTGATACAGAATGCTCATTAATCAGAGAAGAAAGAAATCAAAATATGGAATAAAACAATAGTATGCATAAACTGCAAATTACAAACTAATATTAGTAAGACTAAAACTTGTTAGAGTATGGGAATATTTGATATGCTTCTATGAAAGCTTGATGAAGGTCTGACAAAAAACCAGAAAATGGCAGAGAGAATTTCAAAGAATGATGATGGAATTGATTTCGATGTTCCTCACAACAAACATGTGAGGTTGTTACCTTTATACTTGGAAGAGGAAGGAAGATCCTTCACTCATCAAGCAAAACTAAATCTTAACCCTTAATTGCTATCACCCTATGAGATGATGCCACTTATTATAATCTATCACTTGAGCTAGATACAAGTGAGAGCAGCCACATGGACTATGATCTAACGACTCTAATTTAAACTTGAAACAAATATTAAACTAAAGGTTTGAATTGTTCCTTTGCCTCCAAGTCTCGGCTGAATGGTTACACACCAACACTCCCTTCTAACCTTTTAGTTGATTTGACTCCCAAAAGCTCTCTTAGATAGGCAAATTGATCTTTAGGCAAAGCTTTAGTAAGAATGTCTGCAATTTTCTCCTCTGTCTTGCAGTACACTAGTTCAATCTCCTTGGCTTGAATTGCTTCTCGGATGAAATGAAACTTTTTGATGATATGTCTTGTCTTTTGATGAAAGACATGATTCTTAGCTATAGCAATGGCTGATGTGTTATCACACATGATCTGTGTTCCTTCCACTTGTTCTTCTCCAAAATCTTTAAGTACAAATCTCAGCCATTTTGCTTGAGAAGTGGCTTTTGCAGCACTTACATATTCTGCTTTTGCTGTGGACAATGCCACAATGCTTTGCTTGATTGATGCCCATGAAAACAAACCAGAACCTAGTGTAAATGAATAGCCTGAAGTGTTTCTCATATCACCCTCACTTCCAGCCAGTCACTGTCACAGTAACCAATTAGAGTAGTTGCTTTTCCTTTTTCAAAGACAATTCCAAAATTAATTGTTCTTTGAATGTATCTCGGCACCCTATTTGCTGTTCCCATGTGTTTCTTAGTGGGATTATGCATGAACCTTGCCAGCAAGGTTGGTGCAAACATTACATTAGGTCTGGTTGCTATCAAGTATAGTAAGCTCCCCACAAGTTGTCTCTATTCTCTTTCATTTGCAGCTTCACTACCATCAACCTTACTCTGTTTCTCATTCACTGCAAGTGGAGTAGCAACAGTTTTGCAGTCTTTTAACCCAAATTTCTCAATCAGCTTCTATGCATACTTTTCTTTATGTATGAAAATGCTTTTTTTTTTCTTTTTTTTTTCAGTTTGTAGTATCTCCATTCCAAGGAAATGATGTAACAAACTCAAATATGTCATCTCATAGTGTTTCATCATGTCATTTTTAAACTCTTTCAGCATTTGTGAACTGCTACCAGTGTACACAATACCATCTACATATAGGGAGACAATAATGATACCTGAGTCCTCACTTGTTTTAACATACAATGTTGCCTTACTTGAGCTCTTCTTGAAACCTGCATTGTTGAAGTAGGCATCAATCTCATCATACCAAGCCTTTGGTGCCTGCTTCAATCTATACAGTGCCTTGTTAAGTTTATACACCTTAGTCTTTTCATTCTTTTTCACAGAACCCTGTGGTTGCTAAACATACATTTCCTCATTCAGAACTCCATTGAGAAAAGCAAACTTCACATCCAGCTGGTACAAACTCCATTTCTTTTGTGCAGCAAATGCAATCAAGGTTGTTATGGTATCCAATCTTGCCACAGGGGCAAAAGTCTTATTGTAGTCAATTCCAGGATTCTATGAGTAACCTTTAGCCACCAATCTAGCCTTATTCTTCTGCACTGTACTATCTAGATTAAGTTTGGTTTTATAGACCCATTTTACACCAATGATTGGCTTATCAAATGTTATTCTCTATCATTTCAATTCAGCTTTCATTGCAGTCTTCCATGAGTCATTTTTGGCTGCATCATCATAACTTTTAGGTTCAACAATGCACATATTGCACTGAGCCATGATTTCACTTACACTTCTCCACTTCTTAAGTGTATCATCATATATTTGAGTTCTTTCAGTTATACTTTCACTTTGAATAGTAGTGAATTGATCAGAATTAGAACTCTCACCAATATAATAGATCTTAGTAACATTATGATGCTCAATAAGTACTGGAAATCTTACTTCATTGTTTGTAGTGCAGTTCCAATCCCAAGAAGCATTCTCATCAAATGTAACATCTTTTGATAGAATGATCTTTCACCACAGCCTACAAAGATGCATTTATGACTGTTTCTTCCGACTTGTGTCTGAGATTAGAAGGGATGTGCACATAGCTAAGTGAACCAAAGATCTTCAAGTGAGCTATCCATGGTTTTCTGCCACTATATGCCTCAAATGGAGTTATTTTTCCGAAAGCTTTGGAATGACATCTATTAAGCAAGTAAATAGCAGTGTTCACTGCTTCTGCCCAAAACACTTATGCACTTATGGAAGATTCTTCTCATGCATCATTTACTTTGCCATTTCCACCATAGTTCTATTCTTCCTCTCTGACACTCCATTTTGCTAGGGAATGTAGGCTATAGTCAACTGTCTTTGGATTCCTAGATCACTGCAATACTTATCAAATTCTGCGAAAAGGAATTCTCCTCCTCTATCACTTATAAGACATTTCACCTTATACCACATTGTACTTATATC